CTATAAAGAAAACCAAAATAAAAGATCGCTCACAATCTAGCTCGATGACCTGAAGAATCATAGTTTTTGCCACTTACTGTGTGTAAGTCCCTGCACAGAGCACGCTTACAAGCACTGGAAGTGAGAGACATCACTTCTGAACACATACAATTAAACCCAAGGCAAAAGTCTCAAGTGAGGGCCCTTGGACCATCCTGAAAAGACATCATTCCCTGAGAATCCTCAATATTGCTGTATCGCACAACACTGTTTCTCAATGGGACACTCAGATAATCTTCATCAAAATTAAAGTGCTTCTTAAAATGCAGAATTCTGGGGTACAGTCACTCCGAGTCTCCAGAGGTAGAGACAGGTAGTCTGTATTTTCAGAGCCGCCAAGATAACTAAACACGCTCAGGTTTAACACCGCCGTCTACATCGGGTCACGACAATGATGTCTCACGGGGTGAGGGGGTTGCCATGTGTGTCAGGGTGCTGTCCTACCCACGAGACTCCCCTGATTCTCAGAACTGTCAGTGCTGCCCCATTGGGCAAGATATACCACCATTTCACAATGCATACGCAGGGCCCCCGACTGACAGATACAATCAGTGATAGGAGAGGGGACAAAACTCAGGTTCCTGACCCCTTGTTTCACTTACTATGGGATAAATGATCAATTCAAGGGTAATACATCAGTGAATGAGTGAATAACATGACTCTCGTTACTCCCACGAGTGCCTGGAAGAGCGAGCCTGGGCACACTGAGAACCATTACAGCCCATCTCCTTAATTTCCATCCTTCCCAGATTTGTGTAAAGGTTACTTGCACACAGGCAGTGACTCCTGAAGGGCAAGAATCATGTCTGAACACACTCTCAAATCCAGAACAGAACCTGACATCAATTAGGCTCTGGAGTCTGTGTTTCGCGAATGTGGAATCTCAGTGATTCCAGCTCTTACACCATGCCTTCCCATCCCACCCCTCACGATATAGCCCTTATGACCAGTTCTCCCGGGGCTGGGGCCACGGAACCCATTTACAGGACTGGAAGAATCTGATCATGTAAACCATCCCCCAGATTATCATCAAGAGTCACCTGCATTTCAGGGATCAGTAATCCCAGAAGCTTTGCAGTTCAGGCAGCTGAGGGATGTTTATGTCAGCTCTGTCTTCTACTGTGACTGCCTGGGTGACATCAGACAAGGAATTCTGAAAAGCCTGAGCTTTTCCTTTCAGGAATAATCTGCTTAACAAATCTCATTGACCATTTAACAAATGTGATGTGAAGATCAATGATTTACACAGGAGTATAACATTCACTAGGTCGTGGATTTAGAATCAGAGAAAAATCATTTGAGAAAGATTGACGGAATGTAGCTTTAATGCAAATTTAAATATTCTTACCTTTCAGTAAATCATCTTCTTCCCCTACTTATCACTTCACCCAAGTTTAAAAGATGTTTTAGAACAGGGATGAGTGTGCCAGCCATCTGTGACCCAATAACCTAAAATGTCACCTAGGGAAAAGAGGGGAGTAACACATTTTTAAAAAGTATGGTGAGGACAGGGGGCCATCCCCCAACTCCACTCTAAGAAGCTCAGAGTAATAGCTTTCCTACCTGCCTTGGGAATCAGCTGATATGAAAACCCACCTAGAAACCACACTGTCCAGCAGCTCTTCCGTAACACAGGCTACACTTT